AAACTTCAGTCAGCATTTGACTCAATGATAAATTGTACTTGCTGACAAGGTCATTGTATCGACCATAGAACTTACGAAATGATGATTTTAAACGAGACTGTTGATATTCTTGTTTCATCAACTTGCTTGTCAATAATTTACCTCGTTTAAGAAATTGTCCATACGTAGAACATAGGAAGGCATAGAATATTCGTGTATTTGACTATCGATCGGTCACATCTAATTTCACTATTGCCATTTTTTTTCTATCGACTATATCTCAAAAATGTGCTTTTAATTATTCATTAATATTTCAAGTAAATAATATACCATTATGGACTCTTTTGGTGTTGAATATGGTTTGTTATTCACCAGAAAAATATTCATATTGACCGAGGACAGGCGACACCAAAAGAGTCCATAATTGTTTTATTATGTAGTCGGGATTTGAATAGATAAGACATTGAAGGCTGTATAACGACAACATTTTCATTTGCGATCTTCCATTGTTGAAAATAAAAAAACCTCCAGATTACTGTTTGTAACTTCCGTGTTTTCCTTTCCGAGTTTCGCTATGTTCAAGACGTCCAGATGTTAAAAAATAAATCCTAAAATAGGTTTGAATAATTGTTTTCCTGCTCAGATACGCAGCTCGCTGTGGCCGTTGCAACCATTGTTTACTGGTGTGTTATACCGATTACAAACAGTAGCACCTCGGGAAATTATGGATATGGCAATACATGTAATATGTCGAAGTATTTAGGAATTGTATCTAGAGAAAAATAAATGGCAAATACATGTATCTGAGCAGAATCACATAAACAAAAATTACATATCCAAGCATCGAATAGTTTGTTAAATGTGTAATTTTGTTGGTAAATAAAACTTACATTTTCCAAAAATGTCAAAATCTCATCTTTTGTTGTTCCCGACCATTCTTTTCTTCTATTAAAATTCACACATTCCAATATTCTTCCCTTATCAATACAAAGCCTATCGCAAAACTTATCTATTAAATCTTTCATCGCTTTTTCATCTAAATTGCATTTATCCTTTTTCGTAAAGACAACAAAAATTGGTATTTCTGAAAAGAAATATATTTTTATATGTTTTTGCTCAAGTATGTCAAAACTCATTAAATATTTTTTTTATAAGAGCTGGGTGAATGATATTTTAGAGTGGAAAGGCGTTAATTTTTTGTCCGTTATGCCCTGATTTCAGAAATTCGTAATACATTTTTAAAGATACGATGGTTGTTAGAAAAGTACGCGGGCACATTGAAGTACATTGAATTTCTACATTTCGTTTATTGGTATGTAAAATTCAGGTCCCTTTACTAAAATCTTGAAAAAATTACTACGATATTTTACTATGAGGTCATGGGATTCACGTGCACGGAGCAATCACTTGACGTAAGAATTCCAGAATTCAACCTGTTAAGCTTTGTCACTTTTCTATAAATCCTTCATTTCTTAAGATTTTTCTTATCTTTTCTCTAGTTTAAAATTGAATATCTATATCAAGACATGTTACTTTTCTACTATAAAGTCTTTTTCACTGATTCGGATATTATTGAAATCTTAAAGAAAAGTCTATGCGGTTAATCGCTCATGTATATATGGAAACTATGCAAAACCATATAGGCGCAACACAAGATCCATGCGATAAGGGGTATTGAAGTATCGATAAGTTAATCATTCCAAATGTTAATCCTTCCATTCTTAAAAAGCTGTATCCATTTGAAAGCTTTTGTCCTTTGTATGTTTTGGAATTTCCCGGCAACATCTTGAACATTTTTATCTCTTTTTCGACATTTTCCTGTCTGCACCCATAATTTTTACGTAGTGCAGTGCTCCATGACTCTTAATGACGTTCCGATTTTTGACTGTGCTTTTACGCGTTGATCATTTAAAAACGGCTATAAAACAGTCATATACCCTCCACTTTAGTTCAAAATTTCTACCGTTTCATAAATACTTTATCGGTAGTTAAAATATCATAAATCTCTTTGCTCTACAATTGTGCAATTTTTAGCATTAATAATGGGTATTTGTGATGTAAACGTACCAAAATGTAGCATGCTCCGTAAAGCAAGTTTTATAAAAATAAAAAAAAACAAGAGGCCCATGGGCCACAACGCTCACCTGAACCACCTCGGCCCAATTGTTCTTCAGAGGATGAAACAGAGGCACTTTTCCCCCATGAAATATGTTTACCAAGGGTAACTTATAGATTAGATTTGTGGCCTCTTTAGTAAATTAAATCCATATAAGAGGGGAATGTTTCAATGCCAAATGAACCATCTGTTTACTTAATTGCATTTAAGTGCAGAGGCTTTTAACATGCTATTGTTTAAATATGTTCTCATTTCTCAAGACTGTCACAGGTTTCATAAAATGATTGTATATAATTATATTTATTTTTTATGCTTACATCAATAAAAAAAATTGCAGTTTTAAGGCTGTATTTAAAATTTTATTTGATTTCAAGAATTATAACAAATCTTTTGTATTATTAGAAGTAAAATGTTACACATGCATGTACATTAGTACAGATTAAAAATTGAATTTTGATACATTTTGAGTACAGTGTATATAATTTGAAATTTGACACTTAAACTTTGTGAAGAAGCTATCTTAATTAATGAATGCCTTACTAGTGACAATTCAAGAGCATATATAATTATACTAGTATTGATTTAGATAACATCTATAAACTTGAGAATGAATGTTTAATGAAAAATAAAACAGCATCAAAAATTTTAACAATACAGTCATAATATAAATATTTCTTAAATATGTTGTTTACATGAAGAAAATAATCACCACTCAAAATAAATAATCTTTTCCAATGAAAATCGAAAAAAGGAAAGATTATGTGAGTGAATTAGAAAGGAAAAAAACATTTTAATATCACAGATCAAAATTTCTAACCTCAGATTCATGCAATATTGTTGGATAATGAAAAGAGAACTTTTTTTCTCTATTGGAAAGAATATTTGTAATTCAAATGATATATCATGTTATATAATATTTTGATAGTACAGTGTATTTTTCTTCAATATATTTCTTAAAGAGGTAGGTTTACCTCCCTTTACGGGCTGGCCATTGACCCCCTCTTTCCATACTTACCTGTAAATGACACTTATTATAGGCTTTGAAGTTCATATAATGGCAGTCACATTTTACTTCATAATCATAAAATTCCACACAATCCATGATACAATATACAGAACTTTTTAAAAAACTCATTAGAATATATACTGAATCTGAGGTTTCACAAATAATTATTATATCTGCTGTGTTGATGACTACTACAAGCATTGTAATTCATTTACAAGGGTTATTTTAAAGAAGCATGTTTTTCCAAAACAAAAAATAACTATACAAAAAATATGAAATTAAAGTATAATATCAGTCTTAGATAGTTTATATTTCAGTTTTATGATATAAATAATTTTTAAAAAGTTGACTAGCATTATGACATGAATAAACATTCAAACACATCTGAGCTTAAGTTAAAAGTCCATAAATGAAGAGATCCTGACTTCTAAAATCACAGAAGCCATATGTCTGAGAAATGTCAAAATCACATGGCTATTATATAGTGTCACAGCTAGCTTATAGCAATGTCCGAACCACAGCTAGCTTATAGCAGTGTCAAATTTACAGTTAATGGCACAGTCCAAATGATATCACTACCAAGAGTCAAAACTGTGCAAATTTTAATTCCAGTAAGAGTCTCCTTCAATGTTACTATTATAATCGTGATGATCCTTGATTGTAATTTCAGTATAAAATCTATACCACACAATTCATTATATATAGTCTTGTTTAAAAGATTGAATATATTAATTAAAGTATACAAATATGATATTATTACATCAAATGGAATGGACATTTTGCAACAAGAAGTGGATATCAAATTGTTTTATCAACAATTCACATTTCCTATTCTATATGAAAACAAGGCAATAAACTGCTGACTGAAATTAAAGTAAAAATACAGCAATATGTCAAATTTTATCCCACATAGAGAAACACTAACTTTTAAGTTCTAATTCCAGGGTTACATCTTTTGAAGTCACTAAAAGACAACAAAATATCAGAATAATATACCTCCCAATTAAAAAAAATCCAGATATTCAGCAATACAAATATTACCATTGGAAATATGCAGAAATAAGCTAAGAATTGAAACAGTAAGTCGAATTTAAGCAAAGTTTTAAAATAAAAAGATGATCTTTTCATTAAAAAAAAAACAGAAGTCTTTGACAATACTGAAGCTCTACATACAATAAAGAAAGGTATAGACTATTAATGTAAAAAGTCATTTCATACCAATTTAACTTAAGGTAAAGGGGGAGTGAATATTTTGGAAAATAAAAAACTTCTGCCTTTGGTGGCCATGACATATGCAATTTGTCAAACTGAGAATTATGCATCTTAGCATAGTCTACTAATGTTACCAAGTGTTATTGAGATGGAGTAGTGTTTTGCATAAAAATATACAATAAGTACTGATGCAAATTAAAGAACAGCCAGATTATTATAAGTGAAATGTTCCATCTAAAATGCATATGTAAAACATTTGTAAAAAATAAAATCTTTAAATTTTCAAATGTTTGGTACTGTATTGCAGCCAAATAGGACTAATACACCAATGGGGAAACTATATACAATGTAATTTAAAAAGTAGATTTAAAACAGCTTTAAGAACAGGAAAATGTCATCTTGTGTAAGTCATGTAAAAATGTAATTGATTGAAGATGATAATAAACTTAACAATCTTAGTGTTGATGAAAAACATTATCATGACCGTGACAAATAAAGCATCAAAATGCGATGGTCATGACAATGCTTAAAATGAAATTGGTACAGTATCAAGACACAAGCACATTTTTGATCACAAGCTATAAATTAGTTTGTATTAAATATAAGCGTATGAAATTTCTCAATTTAAAAATGTCCAAACAATATCTCATAGAAATAAATGCTGGACAAAAATGGCTATGAAGAGATTCACAGGCAGACATGATGATACCAGTGTACACCCAGACAAGCAGATGGACATGGTGATTCCAGTGTAAACCCCAAACTTTGTGGGGTATGACTGGAATAAATGGGGTGAGGGAGGGGGCACTGTTTTGCTTCTCCCTCTGCTGCCTTTTTATTTAGGAGCCCCATCATATTTAATGGAAACTAGTCATATCAAATGCACAAAACACAACTTTATGATCAGACCAATATGCTTCAATCACATCTGTTTCACATGGGGATATATTTGTAAAAATCAAATCAAGCTTCGAACCGGAGTCGTGAGTAGTCTTACTTACAATTTGTTGACAGTTAAAGCCTTTTTCCATAAATGTTAAAAAGTCTGCATGCCCAGCAAACAAATCAAAATTAAAATCTCCCAAGAATACCAAGTCTTTCTGATCATCAATCAAAGGCTTTATATGCATTTCCACGTGATGTTTGAAATTTTCCAAAGAACAAGATGGATATTTGTAAATAACTATGACTTGTACATCTCTATATTGGTTTAATAGTATGTTTGCCTTAATAAACTCTATGGGACCATTGTTTACCTTTGAGATGCAAGTTGTCTTGTAAATGTCTTTCACATACAGTGCTGTTCCATGATGTGGACGACTATCAGAATTATCTAAAGTCTCATGGTTAAATATTGCTGTGTATCCCTGAAGTTGATAATTTTCCACATCTGCACTAGTTAATCTTGTCTCTGAGAATCCAACTACATCTGAAGCAAGAATGTTTGGCTCATTTTGAATTTGTGGAAAGTGTTTGTGAAGAGATCTACAATTGTTAAAAGCAATCTTTAAACGATGCAAATCAACCTGGTATATTGGGACATAACAAAGTTGGAGTGGCACCTCTTTTTTCATTCTCTCCATTTCATCTACGACTTGTTCATCCATAGATAATGCCTGCTCATTGAAGTTTAGAATATGCAGATGATCTACTGACCTTACCCGACTAAGTGCTACATAGTGGATGTGGGGAATTTTCCTCACTTTTGTTTGAGACATATCAATTACAATTTCATCAACTGTGCAACCTTGGGCTTTATGAATTGTTTTTCCTGCAGCTGGCCGTAATGGAAATTGGATTCTCTGAAAAGTATTGTAATTCAAAAGAAAAGACCGTTGAACTTCAAACATTGGTGTCCAGTTCTCAGAAATTCCATCATGAAATAAATGTCTGTATTTTCTTCGAGTAGTTTTTCCAATTCCAGAGTCAAAAAATTCCATCCAAACTATGCTTGGCCTTGATATACCTTCCATTCTCCTTTCAATTAATTGCAATTTACATGATGAACCATTTGTCAAACCATCAGATACATCAACATTGACTGAGATATCATATATCATCCCAACAGCAAGAATCAAATTTTGCATCAAATTGGCAGTTTTGCTTACATCATCTGCTTTAAGAAGAGATCTTAGCAGTTTTTCCTTAACTTCTTTTGAATAATCTTTAATAACAGAATCAACTGAATTCACTGTGACCTTTTCTCCTCCAAGATTTTCAATCAACTGATTGTTGTATGCATCTACTTTAGAATTCTGTGTAAAGAGATGAGGAGCATGATATGGATAATTGTCACTTGTTTCTGTTATCATGCATCTGTGTATCACATTCATATCTTCTGCTGTCATTGCGTTGTAACGAAGGCGATTCAGAAGTTGAGCGAACTCAATATCATCTTTTTGGCGCATGATTTCGTCCAACTCAAAAAAAGAAAAATGCTCCTTCCAAAGATTGCTTGCAAGAACTTGGGCATCATGATTTAAATCCTGAAAGATCCAACGGTCCATCACAGGCTTAAGTTGGAAAAAATCACCAACAGCAATGATACTTATACCACCAAATGGTTTCTTGATGCCTGTGAGAAGTTGTAGACGACTGTCAATGAGTGCTAATGATCTATTTCCAACCATTGATATCTCATCAATAATGATTACTTTCAGGTTTTGGTACTTTGTACGAAAAGTGTTCAATTCGTCAGAGTGCAAACTTTGTTGACTTTGATTAATTTTTTGATGGAAAGCAGATGCTATAGTTGCTCCTCCAATGTTGTATGCCGCCTTGCCAGTATAAGCACAAAGAAGTATTCTTATGTCATCTGGATTTTCACCCTCTGTGGAACATAGGTATCTGTGCAGAGCTTGATAAAGTGCCCTTATCAAAACAGATTTGCCAACACCAGCACCTCCAGACAAAAATGAATAAATAGGTTCTGTCTTTGTCTTTACCCATTGCAACACATGATTGAAAAATTCCCGCTGCTTTACATTTAGACTTCCTAAAAGATTCAAGTATTCATTATCTGGTAATCTAACTGAACTTTCTTCAGTTATTTGTCTTGTTGATGGAATGCCAAGGTCAGATCCTATATCATACTGTCTCTGTTCAATAGGCCTCTCAGGATTAAACTGAACAAAGTTTTCAGATTCAAAAGATCCTTCATTTTCATCTTCTGCCTCTCTTTGCTGAACATCTGGTGCCAACTCATCAAAAGCTTCTGAAAAGTCTTCATTTGCCATTTGCAAAGCTGCATCAAGCTGTTCAGCATTGAATTCATATTCCTTGACCTTGTGTGTAAGAAATGACTTCTTCTGATGAAATGACTTCTCAAATGTGTCCATTCCTGATATTAGATCAGTGGATTCATTTCTCTAAGGCATGAACAACATAAGTTTTTCTCTGTAGTAATTTTCTGGATCAGTTTTGATATTAAATCGGACATATCTAATTACCCTTGGTACTTTCCGTCGTTTAATTTTCATGCCGTTTCTCAAAGTCAAAAGTGTATCACTTTCACTAAAGTCATCATCTGAATTGTCTTCATCATCTGACTGATTGTCCTGATCATCATCATTCACTTCATTTTCAGTGAACTCTTTTTCATTATCTTTAGGGAAGACAACATCTAGCTGTGATACGTAATCAGCTAAGCACCAGTTTTCAAGCTGCTTTGGGCGTTTTGCATACCGTTTAATAACATTGCTACATTCCACATCTGTAGAATTTGGTGTCAACTTTTCTAATTCAGCATCTGTTTTGATCAGAATTACTCTGTCATCTGATGGACTTGTGTTTATAAAAACAACATCTCTTGAAGCTTTTGTCATTGGCATTTGTAACACTAAATATGCTGCTTCTTGAGCTCCAACTTCTACACTGTTGAGAAAATGATTCCCAATGTGACGTACCTGTCTTTTTATGTCAAGATTTCCTTCTCTAGCTTCTTTTGCAGCTCTGTTAAGTAAATCGCTCATCCCTCTTTGTGATTTACTTATATAGGAAACAATATACATTGCACAGGCATATGGGTCCAAAATATATTGAATGTCTATGTTAGCTTTCCAAGCATTAAGAACAACACTGTTGTACGAGTTTACCCTCATATCACATGGACTTCTTTTTAGAAAAACCTTTGGACCTCTCAGTGAACTTCTAATGTATTTTATGTAATCTTCCTCAGATATCTTAAGTACTGTACTCAGGAGTTCCTTGTAGGGCAAATCACATCCATTTTTCATATCATTCAGCTGTTTCTGAATGTCATCATACATCTTCTTGTACTTATCAACATCACACTCTAGTGGCTCCAAAATCAAAGTCTCTTCAAGAGGAGGGAGGGGAAAACCAAATCGACATACAGCTTTGCCTCTCTTTTTGCATGTCTGTGAATGTTTGTGCACTTGTAAGTCAGACAAACCATCCTCTTCATTCTTTTCACATTTCAGGTAATTATCTACATAATTTACAATCTCCTGTTCATTATTTTCATGATATTTTGGTGCATTTTCTATCCAAACAATCATATGAATGTGTGGTGATCCTCTTTGTTGAAATTCAGTTCTGTAGAAGAAGTCTTTTACAACACCAATTGGATGATGATCACTTCTCAACACTGAATTCATAAACAAACGGAATCTATGATCAAAGTACCTAGAGCAAGTGATGGGATCCTTTTGTACTAATTTTGATTTTTCAAACCAAGTCATGTTATTGATTTCTTCATCAGTGTATTCTTTTCCATCATTTAACACTCCAAGTGCTCTGATGAGATCATTCCATCTTGTATCTGCAGCAGACAATGACATAAACCATGTCGGTAGACCTAGCTGTCTGATCATAGCAAACACATCCTTTTTTCTAGTCTCAAGATATGCAGGTGAATTTCGTAACTGCCTGAACACAAAGAAACCTTCATCATGTCTAACAAGATTATTCACATTTTGAGGATTTTTCATTTCATTTGCTGTTATGGATCTTCCTTTAGTTTTGCATTTCCTAAGAGCCAGGTTGCATTTGTCTGTAACTTGCTTCATTTGTATTTTTTTCAACTTGAAAAACAAATTTGGAACAGACTGGGCAGCACGTCTATCAACACTTCTTAATTCCCATTTAGCAATATCTGCATAGGACACATGTACTTGTCTTTTGTCATCTTGTAATCTTCCCTTTCCACAAAAAATTGTTGGAAATGATAAATACTCAGCTGTCTGATCTTGATATAAACTAAGTGGGCGTTGTCCTTCACCTGGAGCAAATGTGTAAATCTGATTCATGTCTCTTGAAGCATCATCTAACAGAGTATCGCAATTACCATCTCTACCAACTCCATCTACTTCACAGAATTCATCATCATCATCATCAACCGTCTCATCATCATCAGTATTTTGGTTGCTTCTTGTCTGTGTTCTCACTAGTTCCTGAACCATTTCACTTGCTGAAGTTGTAATTTCTTGAAACCAGTTTTCATCAACATTGATATTTGCATTCTTGTAAAAGTCACTATTGTTCATAAGCCAGTGCAACGCAATCAGTACTTTTGTTGGTCGTACATTTTCATGATAATCACATTTTTGATATGACAACTTTTTCTTTAATTTGACAGGGACTGTGACATTTTCATCTAATTTTCTTGGCAGGCTATTTACAGTAGGTTGAATATCAACTGGAACATTCACAATGTTTCCTCTTACAGAATATTGCCCACCTCTTGGCAACTCTCTTATTTGCATAAAAGGTATTCTCAGAGATACAAGCCTTCCTTCTAAAGGAAATAAATCTAATTCCATTGGCTTAAGTGGCCAAATCATACCATTTAAGACGGACAACTTTGGAATTTTTTTTTGTCTTATTGATGAACAGCAAGTATTACAAATCCATTCCACATTTTCAACAGACACAGTGCTTGTAAGAAACTTGCTTTTACATTCGTCATCTAGTTTGATGTTTTTCACTTTAGAAACACTTTCTTTGAACCATGTTTGCTGACAACATGTGCATACAAAAATTGGACCACGTTTTATCTGTTCATGAAAATTTTGGATGCAATCCTCTATATCTATTCCAAATCTTTTCCGTCTATGTTGTTCATTTACTTTTTCACAATATTCTTTATCTGCTCTTTGCCTCTGTTTCTGTTCTCTATTTAGCAATCTCTCATTTTCTCTAAATGAAATGTTGCTTCGTTTAGCTTGCTTTTTTAACCTTTCCCTTTCAAGAACAATTGGGTTTTCTCTGCATTTTCTTTTTGAAATTCTACTGCCCTCTTTTTCTTTTTCTTGCACTTTAACATTCTGACGTTTTAACTTTCTACCAGCAGTATTCATTTCCCTTTCTTTCTCTTTAATTTCAGCATCTTGTCTCTTGGACTTTCTTGCAAACTTATCCATTTCCCTTTCTTTCTCTTTAATTTCAGCATCTTGTCGCTTTAACTTTCTTGCAAGCTTATCCATCTGCATTTCTTTTTCTTTAATTTCAGCATCTTGTCGCTTTAACTTTCTACCAGTGGTATTCATTTTCTTTTCTTTTTCTTTAATTTCAGCATCTTGTCGCTTTAACTGTCTTCCAGCGGTATTCATTTTCCTTTCTTTCTCTTTAATTTCAGCATCTTGTCGCTTTAACTTTCTTGCAAACTTATCCATTTCCCTTTCTTTCTCTTTAATTTCAGCATCTTGTCCTTTGACTTTCTTGCAGGCTTATCCATTTCCCTTTTTTTCTCTTTAATTTCAGCATCTTGTCTCTTTGACTTTCTTGCAAGCTTATCCATTTCCCTTTCTTTCTCTTTAATTTCAGCATCTTGTCGCTTTAACTTTCTGCCTGCAGTATTCATTTTCCTTTCTTTCTCTTTAATTTCAGTATCTTGTCGCTTTGACTTTCTTGCAAAATTATCCATTTCCCTTTCTTTCTCTTTAATTTCAGCATCTTGTCTTTTTAACTTTCTTGCAGCTGCATCTCTTTCCTTCTCTCTCTGTCTAATTTCAGCATTCTGCCTTTTTAATTTTCTTGCAAATGTTGCAGTTTCAGTTTCTCTGCTTTTTATATCATCATTTTGTCTTCTCAACTTTTTTGCATGTGTTTCTTTGTTTCTTTCTACTTGCTTAAACTGTACATTTTGTCTTTTTCTCCTCATGTACTCTCTCATATACCTTTTTCTGCATGGGTTTTGATCTGGATTTGTAACAGATGAGAGATGATCATCCATTTTGTAAAATCTTTTCTGCAATGGACTTTTCTCTGGAAAACTATGATGCAAAGTTTTAATTGAGATTGGTAAGATTTCAAACTGCATTGCAAAGTCTATATGCATGCTGTTATACATACTGTATAGATATGATACCAAATCATCAATACCCGTGCTTTGTACTAGTACTGATTTACCATCACAGGAAGACATGCCAGCACTGTCATGTGAATGAGAGTCAAAAAAGTAATATTCCTTGTCTGACACTTTGTATACACCAGAACAAATTGCCCCTATCATTATCAGCAAATATCTAGAAACCTGGAAAGCCTCTTCTAAAGCTTGATGCAATGATTTCACTTGACTAATTTGTTCTTCAGAGACAAGTAATCCCCACATGGTTTCAAATTTCTCGATGACATGATGATTTTCTCCTAAAGTTAAGTTACTTGGCAACTCATCAAATTTAAGTAGTTTGTTTAGAAACATTTGTCTTTGCTGCAAATTCTTGACCAACATAACATAAACCTGATCTCCTGCTATTAAAGTGCTATCAATAAATTCTGTTGAGAATGAAAACCCTTCATAACTTTTAATCAGCATAATAAGAGCATTGCAGGTACACTGACTTCCTCTAGAAAATGATGAAAACCTTGCATCTCCTTGATGAAATGACCCAAATGCTAATTTTGTATTGCATACCTGGTTGATTGCATGACTAAGTGATTTGCTTTCTTCAGCCATTACATCTTGATTTTGCAGAGCTGTTTCAGTGATTGAGGCATTGTTCGTCAATTTTTGTTCAATATTGTTTTGCAAATTCTTTTCATGAGATTCATTGAGCAGATTTGTTTCACATAGTTCATTGAGCAGATTTATATCACAAAGTTCATTGAGCAGATTCATTTCACAAGTTTTTTGGTTTTCCTGTTTTTTTTTTTGTAACCTGAGGGCAGGCTCCTCAGGGTCAACATTGGTTTTACTGTTTTTCACGAGGCCAGTCTCCTTAGTCATTTTAATGTCATACATTGTTTTACTGTTTTTTAAGAGGCCAGTCTCCTCAGTCAAGTCCAGGTCAGAAAGTGTTTTACTGTTTTTCATGAGGCCAGTCTCCTCAGTCTTGTCAGTCCGTATCTCTTTCCTGGCACCACTCATCCTCCAGTACTTCCTTCTAGGCATCTACAAAGGACAAAGTTGATAATGAATAGATATACTACAGATGTACAGTCAAGCCTTGTTAATATGGAAACTTAATTATTATAATCTGGTTTTAATAAGCATTAGGAATACCAAATTTTACCCCAAATTACATGTACTTGTAGATATAAACATTCTGTTCCCAACACATCCCTCATCCAGAAGATGATGTATAATCATAATTACCAAGGCTCAACTGTACATCCTTCTATATATTAGAAAGGGGAGGAAAGAAAGGGGAATAGATTTTTTTCCATCAAGTTTTGTACAATTTCAAAATTTCCAACCCATTATTAAAAGTTTAGTACATTTAATTTTCCAACCCATAATTAAAATGAACAATCAGGTAAATAGAGTTATAAGTTGACATATCATTAACATAGGCATAATGAACATGTTATAGAAAAGACAAATGATAGGCAGTATATTGTGTAAATGAAACCAAAATAGAACAGGAAATTGTCAATTAAAACCAAATTTTTGATACTTGCTAGTCTCCGGGTGAGGTGTCTACATAAAATATTGCTCAGAGAATTGCTATCTAATTTGTCTTTTAAAGAAATTGGCACAACATTATGTACCACTTGATGCCCTATAAGAAAAACCGAAACGTTCCAATCAAATGAAATTTTACCATTTTAATGCACATGACATCACTGTATAATTGTTGCCACGACTACTGACCTTGACTAAATTAACGTAAAAGTTTAACATCTTTTAACTTTTATATACATAAGGATCAACTATCTTAATGAATATTATATTTATAGTGTTGTGTTTTGCATGCACTATGCCTAAATAGTAGTCAGGGTTTGACACATGGTGCACGAGACAGAGGCATGGTGCACAAGACTCATAATTAGCCATAAACCATTTTCGATATTATTATCTGCGATACATCAACACCAGGGTATACTCTTGAGATTCGTCAAACCTGACTGCTTTATTGTCACGGGTATCAGCGTCGAATGACGACCCGTGTTCGTGCTGGTTTTCTTGCATTACCTTTGTGTTCATTTTATTGCAGTTATGTGTCTGTGTTTGTTTGTATACTGCACTGACCTGTCCAACTATAATTGCAAGTTTTGATTTCTTACTTTCCTGCATTAGACTAAGTATTACGTTATCATTGTCGCTACCTAGTGGTATATATCATACGTCCGTCTCTACTGTTTAGATTACAATGAACATTGACAAAGTCCTGCCCTTTATTAGGGGTCTGCAGGTATTAACTAGATATCATTGAGATGGTGGCCATCTCAAAGGGCCCCGTTTTTAGCAATGAACATGAAAATGTAAGGTAGCTGAAAACGGTTAATTTTGAAGGTGTTTGAGATTAAAGGGGACAAAAAGTAACTACTACCTGAAAAATAATACATTTAAAAAACTTTAAGAAATGTATCCTCTATGAAAATCGTTGCATATCCTCTATCATAATATACAAGGAAAATCACATACCCAGTCAATTTGTTTGAGGCCGAGTGGAATTATGCACCCAACAAAGATTTTAAACAGAGAGGCTATTTTTCATATAATTCTGCTGTGACCTTGACCTTTGATGTAGAAACATTGTTCAAGGTCAGTGCACACCGGTTACCCAAAGGCACTCTGTTGGTGAAGTATGAGCCAGATTGGGCCAAAGGGAGAGATAATATGCTCGGGACAAGGATTTTTCATATAATTCTGCTCCGACCTTGACTTTGACGTAGAAACATGGTTCAAGGTCACTGCACACCGCTTACCCTAAGGCACTCTGTGGATGAAGTATGAGCCAATTTGGGCCAAGGAGAGAGAAGATATGCTCCAGACAAGAGATCTCGGATGGACAGACAGACAGCTGGAAGGACAGACAGACTGATCACTACAGGGCTCCGCCGAGAGGGGCCCTAATAATAGCGATTCTCTGAACAAAAATATCAGACATGTTCCTTTTAATGGTGTTCAGCTTTAATCAGATATCATTAAAATAATACTCTCCCCAACACCTAGTATCCATTGGATCTATTACATTACCAACCAAACTCAAAATGCAAATGTTCCCTTTGCTATAGAGAGATGCACAGATAAAGAAGAAGTTGACATCAGATTTGTACGAAAATGCCTAAACAAAGAGTGTGCTGAAATTTCTAGTATCTGCGACTAACAATTACTGAGAAAACTGTTACAAAAATTTAGTAGCAATAGACACACAAGGGTAAAACAGTATACTTCTCCTTTGGAGTGGGCGTCTAAATTAATCATTTCTGCACAATGGAAAATGTATTCAACAATTCAATGCAATTGATTTTCTTTCCAATTAAATTATTGCTGTAACTATGGGATGTTTGATCACTGCAAGTTATTTTTTTTCAAAGCAAGTCAAGTAATTTACAGTCTTTAACAGTATTAGAGTAATGGATATATTATATAATTTAAATAGTTCTTTTTAAAAAAGCGGAAAATAAAATTAAACCTTTGGCATAAACTTTCTCATCAAGATAATTTGTTGTTACAAAACAGGGATTAATCTAGGGCATATTTACTACCAATATTCGGGTTTTCTCACCACGTGAACATCCCATTTCCCCCTTTAAGCTTTTCAATGAGTAAAAATTTCCCCTTACAATAATGAAAAGCTTAAATATTTCTTTTCTTTATAAAAACTGGGGGAAAAAAGTAGAAAGCAACATGATTATCAGAAAGTGTGAAATAAGGTTTTACTTTGCTATTTTATGGACATTAATAGGTCAAAAAGATGCTAAAGTTCAATTGCCCCCCCCCCAACCCCCCGCAGGGCGGTAGATAGACATCTCGGCCCTGAAAGGTTGGCCCAAAATTATTAATACGTTCGCCCATACACACCTCGGCCCAAGCAAACTTGTGATAGAAAAAAATTAATTCAATGTCTGAATTGGTGTTATTAATAATAATCATCATCAAAAGATAACTTATTCTTTCAGACAATGATATTTTTAAAATCAAATAAGGCAGGGGGGTTCTATGAAAGATGATTTGTTTATTTTTGAAACTAAATAAATTCTTTTTAGTCCTTAACTTGCATCTCTGTCATGGGGAAATGCGCAATATATATGGTAAGTAATACTATTTCAAGACAGTAGGAATTCTTTCATATCATTTTATATTTAAAATATATTCATAATCTAAAATCCAAATAAATGTTGTATCTTATCGTATCACTTTGCATTGTTCCTCTGAGGATAT